ACAGATTTTATAATTAATATATCTTGGCTAGTCAAGCAGTGAAAATCAAATAATAAAAATTTCCTCTTTAGAATATGGTATTTGTGATACGTTTCTTTCCATTTTTTTCTTTTTCGCTTCTTCAAACTTTATTTCAATAAAAGTATGCTTTTGGAAACATTTATATTGGATGATAAAATGCATTTTAAATGATCCGATACAATTTTAAGTAAAAATTTAGAACATGGCTTAAGATTTTAAGCAGGATTTATAAGTCTGCATTATCTTTATTACAAATGTTTAAAAAAATACCGCTAAAGGAGGCAACAAGAACCTTGAACAAGAACCTTTGGTTTACTGCGGAAAAACATGTATCACATTGTAAAGTTGATGAAGCTGGTGCAGCAAAACATGGTTTCATTGTTAAAATGCTGGTGTAGGAGGTTCAGTGACTAAGGGATGTGGAAGTAGTGGGGAGGGAGCTTATGCACACGAGCAGAGCTGTAAAAGCTGATTTACCTGAAACTGCATGTAGGTTGTGAATCTAAACAAGGCAAGATTCGGCTAATTTCTTCAGTCTGAACTAAGACTGTAAGTTCACTTCACCTGCTAACATCAACAAGGAAACTTGGCACACTAGCATTTGAAGTTTTTCTTATGTCTGCAAAGGAAAAGAAAATTAAGCTTTTTTCCCTAGCATTTCAGTTTAGAAGTAACAACATACTACAAATAAGGGATTTCTCCCTTTGTGAATATTTGGTAACAATGCCATCAAGTCACCTGGTTTTTAATTTGTATCAACATTCAAGTGCAAATAAGTCTCCACAGTTAATGACCACAAGACTTTAGAATTGAAAAGTAAAATGTTCCTGTTTAGAAAACTAGAACAAAATATCTAGCGGTGATAAGAAGCCTTATGAAAACAGTGTGGTCCCTATAAATTATACTTCCATGCAGAAACAAGGTCAGCTCCAAATAAGCAGGAGCTCTTTAAAAAAAAGGGGGAAAAAAACTTAAAATATTTTGAAAATCCACGGGAATGTAGGTTCAAAAATAACTGAAAAAGGATTCAATGTATAATGTGTTCTAGTATTTAAAATTTATCACTAGTTATATAACATCAATTTACAAATAAAATGTTAGTTCTTTTATCAAAAGGGAAAATTCTAGATTTAATGAAGAATTATAGAAGAATATTTATTAGAATGATTATTCATATTTTCTAGGACTTTCTTAGAAAATAAGATTCTAATAGCTCTACCCAAATATCATAGTTTTCAAAAGGAAAAGCTCCCAGTTGTACCAGAAGTTCTAATTACTAATTTACTTTTCATCGAAACATTTTCATTAGGGCGTGTTTGTGGTTCATATTACTTACATTCCTTGTGAGGAATTTGTGCGTGTATATAATACATCCCGATTACCTTTTCTCCTTCCCCTTTCCTTTCCCCTCCCCCATTCATCTCTTAGCCCACTCCTTCTGTTTTTCTTTGTATATGTTGCAGTGCATGTTTCCATCCTTGTGTGTAGCTGTACATGTACAGAACACATCTTCATTCCTTTACATCCCCTTCTCCTCTCTCCCTGCCCCCCCTCCATCTCTTGATCCCTTTCCTCTTTGAGAAAGATCTATCTCCTTACTTCCTAGTATCTGTCTTTTATTTTGCTTTTTGTTTACACTTTGGGTGTCTAGAAATCATGTGATGTTTAAGTTTGTGTGTCTGCTTTATTTCACTTAAAATGTAGCCTCAAGGTGCATCCATTTCCGTATGACCCAAATTTATCTTTCCTTATGTCAGAGTAGTACTCCATTGTGCATAAATACATTTTGTGTATCCATTCACCTGCTGATAGACATGTAGGCCACTTCCAAGATTTAGCTACTATGAATTGTGCTGTTACAACATAGGTGTACGTGTATCATTGTAGCATAACGTCTTTAACTCTTTGGGGAAGATATCTAGAAGGGAAACAGCTATGTCTAATGGAGTTTCTGTTGTTGTTTTCTGAGGAATCTCCATACTGATTTGCAAAGCAGTTGTACTAGTCTATATTCCCACCAGCAGTATAGAGAAGTTCCTTTTTTCCCATAGCCTTGCCAGAATTTGTTGTTACTTGCTTTCTTGATGATGCCCATTTTTTTCTGGGATGAAATCTCAGTGTTGTTGTGGTTGCATTTCTCTGATGGCCTGCAGTTTTGAGCATTTCTTTATGTACTTACTGGCCATTTGTACTTTGTCTTCAAATGTCTTTTCATTTCACTTGCCTATTTTTTGATTAGGTCATTTATTATGAGGGGGTCTGATATTTTTAGTTCTTTATATATTCTTGATATTAGTCTCTGTCTGAGATATAGCTGAGCAATTTTGCCCCACTCTCATGGTTGCTTCTTTTGCTGTGCAGAACCTTTTTTATTTGATATGATTCTATTTGTTGTCAATACTATTTCCTGTGTAACTAGTGTTCTGTTCAGAAAGTCCTTGTCTGTGGGTAGGACTTCAAGAGTTTTACTTTATTTGTTTTACAGCAGGTTAAGTTTTCTGTCTTATCATTTAGTTCTTTGATCCAATTTTAGTTTAGTTTAGTACATAGTGACGGATACAAGTCTAGATTCATTGTTCTACATGTGGATAGCTGGTTTTCCCAACATTGCTTATTAAAGAGGCTATCTTTCCTCTAGTGTATATTGTAATGGGGTTTTATACATTGTGTCAACTTGAGAAGTTTAGAAGTTTAATTAAACAACTCAGTACGGGGCCAAGGTCCTCTCTAGTAAGCATCCTTATCCTCTGCAAGAGGAGGGCACAAAGACAGTGCGAATGCTACCCCCCACTAGGGTGGAGAGCCTGCATGCAATGTAAGGGAGGGAAAGAGGCTTGTTCTCCACCTTTCTGCTCTTTGTGCTTTTGTTGTCTTCTGCTGCCTTGAAGTATTGTCTCTGTGCCATGCCACCCTGCCTTGGAGCCAGCTGATTATGGACTGAAACCTCCACAAACCATTCTGTCAAAGACCTAATAGTTGAACATGCTTGGGGCTGTTTCTGTATCTTCTGTTCTACTCCACTGATTCTCATGTCTGTTTTTGTGCCAGTACCATGCTGATTTTATCACTGTAGCTTTGTAATATAACTTCAAGTCCAGGATTGTGGTGCC